AGCCAATAAGGGAATCAGCAACAGAAATAGCTGAAGGTTTCGGTAAACAAGCCTGTTCTCGATCCGAAAGGGGCATAAGGCCAGCTGGGCTAGGGGTCTGTGTGTAGAAATGTGAAGTATCAGAGTCCTTTTGATCAGCTGTTAATTTTATAGACTCCTTCACTGAAGGCACACTCGTGTAGGGAAACTGGTCGGAGGGATGCGCTGCCGGGATGCAGGAATCATTAGTTAAGCGAGAGTGGGCCATCGAAAAAACGGAGGAGTTCGGTTGATTAATAGAAGGTCCAGAAGAACCAGTGGAACATAGATCTGCTTCCTGTGGAAATATTGCAAAATAATCGTAAAAAACATGCCAGAGAATTACACAATTTAGAAAACCAGCAATACTATCAATGAAGACAGTCGGGAATATGCAGAAAAATAAATAAATAAACCAATGGAGCAATTAAATAATTGATTACGATATACATGGAAATTGTTCCCTTTATTAATACTAGCGTATCTTTTATTTCGTTTCAGAAGGCGGGTGGAAGGGATTCGCAGATTGACCTCATCGGATACCGCAAGAGGGCTGCCTGGGACTTTTGCCTGTTGAATTGTGCGAAGAAAACCTTGGCTCACTGTCCTACGACTTCGATGACTCCGTACTGAGCATTCGTCATTGATGCAACGAACATCGTCAGAGCCATAAGCCATTATTCTCAAAAAAATCATTAAAAAACACTGAACCAAGAAGTGGCCAGTTGAGATCCTACTTCTTATACCTCACTTTGAGATCGTAATGAGGCATTCCATGGTTTATTTGGCTGTTTTATGTTTATCCTACATGCAGGCAAGCGGGTCAAAGTGATGCAAGGAGAGCAGATGTGGTCACAACTTTTGCCTAGCTAAATAAACTAGCGTGATCCAGTAGTCCTGAGTCTTGTTACAGCTTCGTGAATGCGTGTTTGTGTGTGTATGCAATAACCACGAGTTGGTTGACAATTTTAGGTGCAAAAAGAAGCTCCAGCTTAGTCTAGTCTTCTCTTCTTATTCATTGGCTCTTTCTGTTCTTTTTCTCCCTTCCCTCTCTCTTTTTCAATATATTAAGAAGCCAGAGATAATTCTTATCTAGTTTCCTATATTCGTTCCTCTCATTTAAGAGGTTCTTTATTTTATTAATTTCAATGGATTCTCTGATCTTCCATTTATCTGTGAAGTCACCATATTCGGCAAAACGTTGGGATTTGGACCAGAGAGAAAGAGAGAGAGAGAGAGAAGAAAAGGGAACAGCCATTGGTTAAAGAAAGAAGACATCGGGGATGTGGGATGGTGGTCCAGTTTTTTCCCCGCATAATTAGAAAGACAAAAGTCCAAGGCAGCCCTTCTGCGGTATCCGGTGTAGCCAATTTAAGAATCCCTTTGAGCCGACTTCTCAAAAAAAAAGAAAGGTACGCCAGTATCAACCTATTAAGGTATTCTCTTCAAAACCCAGCTTATCTGCATATATTCCCTCTATAAACTTATTGCATTAACCCGACTAATTTAATAAATTTATTATTCGAGCCTCTAATGTTACTATGTGAGCTACAAACTGCTACATATAATGGTACGAGATGAATCCTATCAAACCATTTACATGTAAGCTTGTCATCAAAAGCTGGCTGGCACAAAGCCATAAAATAAATAGATTCAGTTATGCCATTTTTTATAAGAATGGAAACTAGGAATATTCATAAGCGGTCCTGTATATACAACAATTTTAAATTTTATTTAGTCCATAGAAACAGATTTTGAGCTTTAAATAAATCTTCGAAATTTTGGATTAGTGAGCAATTATTTGAGACAGATAATAAAATGATCGAATTAATTACCAATATGAGATGAGAGAATACTGGGTCACGACGCAGATTGTTTAATATGACGAAACCAAATTTATAAATGAAAAAATCGTTACTTAAGGTTTTACTTATGAAATTTGAGGTAGATAGTAAAGGAATGATTTCACGACTTGGAGTTGATGCTTTTCAAAATAAATCAACAAATTCTCGCAAGATATCAAAACTAAGGAGTTTTCTACAAAGTCAGCCAAGCAGGTCTGCAAGGCACGGGTCAGCAAGAGAATAGAACCTAAAACTCTATAGTAAACAACCTTTCCTCTATATTAAAGCCAGTCAAAATAATAATTATAATTATCAATTAAAGCAAAAATTAGTAGTTAAATATAAATAATATTTAAATAGTTAGTTAAATATTTAAAATTCCTAAATAGAAAAACCCTTCAGCTATGAAAAATGATAAATCTACTTACACAAAGCCGTCTATACATGAATCACTTACCTGGCTATAGACTTGTGGAAAAGAGACTGATGTCGGGCCACCTTTGCAAGCAGGAGTAGGCAGTCTTGAGTCAGGGAACTCAATCAAATCAAATTGTTGTTGTTTCGGCTGTTTTTGCTGCCGCTGGGATTTAGGTATCTGAGTCGACCGCTGTTGCTGGGGTTGTTGTAATCTCTGAGAGAATTGGTCGTCCGCAGTAAGCGGGCAACCGGACTCTCTCAAGCCGGAATTCACTGGCTCTAAGGAGCTCTTGATGTTTTCCCCACTTTGCAAATAACCCCGCTGCCTAGTAAGGTTTTGTTGTTTGGAGCAAACCTTCCATTCATCTCCTGCCGATTCCAAATAAGGCTCCTGATTAGAGTCTGGTCTGCGAGTCTGCTTCATTCGCCTTTCGGGAAAAGCCAAATTTTTCCTATGCTCTCGATCTTGTATCCAATGCTGCTCCTTAGTAGAGCCACTCTCTCGGCTAGTATTAAAAACTTCGCGTTCGGGTCTTTGTCCGCATGTACGAAGAGCGCGGACTGGTCCGCCATGACTTGTGTCTAAAGGCAATTCAGACGACTGATGACGCCGGCATGCTAAATTAACGTTATCTCGGCAAACACTTCGTCGAGTATCGTCATAATAGTTGTCATATTCACCTTTGTAATTATCGTCGTAGTTGTCGCATTCGTATTCGTATTCTTCAACATCTCTATGCTGTTGTAAATGCTCCCGGCGACCGCAATCAGGACTGGTGCACTGCCGGCAGGGCTGACGATGTCGCCTATGATATTTATGCTCCTCAACCAGGTCAGAATAAGAATCTGGAAGAGTGGTTTGGATAGGGGACTGCGACTGAGAGATGGAAGGGGGTCGTGGTGGGGGTGGGCATAAACTTCTCCATGACTCTGCAGTGGGAATCCCTTTCTGAAGATGAGAAAAAGCAAAAAGCAAATTTATGGTAAAATTAAAAGACTAATTTAAAGCGAAAGGACAAATTTTCTGAATAAGATTCAGATTAAAAATAAAGACCAAGAGATCAATTATATTTTGGTCATTGGGATATGGTTTGCTAACATTATCTGAAATAATAGGTGACAAATAAAGCATTTTACACCGGAAAATTCAAATCGTTGTCAAAGTGGTGGCAAGACAAAGAATGCCGAGCGGGGATAACGCTCGCATCGAACGCATTAATGCAATTAAGAATAATAATTTTCTAAAAGAAACTCTTGAGCAAACTGGACAAGGATTTTAAAGAAAATCACCAGAAAGATGTTAGTGCACAATATAAAGATTATGTCTTAGTTCAAGAACTCAAGTTCAGCATTACTGCTAATTGCACTTAGCAAGTTGCCACACCCAGAGTATATAGAATAATCTGTGTGTATGCATGCATAATGTAAGAATAGGTTGCATGAAATGAGTAACTAGCCACCTTAGATAATGCTGACACTGCAAAAACAACTGCAAATTAATATTCCCAAGAGGTAGAACCACTATATTAAT